CCCCAAAACCCCAAAACCCCAAAACCCCAAAACCCCAAATGATTTAAAATTCCTTGAATTTTATTTTATAAAATTTAAATGGAAGGAACATCTGAAGGCCCGTATGAAGAAATGAAGTACTCAGATTCTCAAAATGATGAGCAAGGTAAGTACATAAGTGACCGAGGAAGGATTATTGAGCTTGGGTTTAAAGGGACCCCCAAAGTAGCTCATTTGTGTTGAACGGTGTGAAATTTTGAATTAAGGGAGGAATTAGAGAAGAGGGTGAAGAGTAGGAGGAGAATTTAGAGATTTTCTGTGGTTTAGCAAGTTTTAGCCTGATGATAGAGAGCTCTGGGAAGATATCATGGCTTTTTGTAGTGTTGAAGGGGCTAACTGCTTCAGAAAATCTTTTCTAATTTAGTTTTTGCAATAAATTTACTCATCATTTGCTTTATAGAGAAATATGATGAATTTGAAGAATCTCATAGATCAATGACCACTAATTCAAAAGACATGAGTGCAGCTCATGATATGGAAGGTGAAGGAGCTGAAGGAGAAGGAGAAGGCGAGCAAGCTGAGAGGAAATGGTTCTGGGCCTTTCCACAGATTGAAGGTGTCCCACCAAGTCCCAGAGGAGGACACTCTGCAACACTTATTGGAGCTTCTATTTTGTTCTTTGGGGGACATTTTTATAGTGATAAGAAGACTGGTTACACATACTTGAATGATACACATGTTTTGGATTTGAACGCAAGTAGATGGATCAAGCCTAAAATTGAAGGAACTCCTCCAAAGCCGAGATATGGTCATACAGCTGTCCTAGCCGGGTCCAGAATCCTTATTTTTGGTGGAAAAGGTGTCAAGAATGTAAGCTTAAGATTGACAAATTTTAGAAAGTCTTCAGAGACCTTCATGCCCTCGATCCAGTCAAAATGACCTGGTATCAAGGCCCAGATGGTGCTGGAGCTCCTGCAGCTAGATTTGGCCACACATCTACTCTTGTTGGAGGAAATAAAATGTTTGTCTTCGGAGGGTGGAATAAGAAGCTCTATTTTAATGATCTTCATATTCTTGATCTTGAGCTCATGGCATGGAAAAGGCCTGAATGTAGTGGCCCAGAGCCTAGCCCAAGACAAGGACATTGTGCTATCCTGATTGGAACGAACCTCATCATCCACGGAGGATATAGACTCAGAGAAGATTTATTGAAAACAGCTGGCCTTGCACAAGGAAATATTTTAAAAAATTCTTATTTGAACGATATAAAAGTTCTTGATACAGAGAATTTTGTCTGGTCCAGGCTAAGAATCTCTGGAACACCTCCAGAAGCTAGATATGGGCATACCCTCAATATTTCAGGCTCTGATATTATTATGTTCGGAGGCTGGACCTGAAATAGTGGAGATAGGACCAGGCATGAAGGTACCAGTGAGGAGTGAGATTATTTTATGATTTGGAATACTGAAAATATGTGATGGAAGCAAGGAAAATCTATTGGAACTCCACCCACAACCAGGTATGGACACTCAAGTACTGCTATTGGTCCACATCTTTTGATATTTGGAGGATGGGAGTTCTCTAAAGCTCAAAATGAAATTATTGTATTGAGAGAATTCAATCAAGCTCAGCAAAGCCAAGACCAAAAAGAAGACTTTGAAGAGGGAAATTACGAGGCTCCAGGATCTCACAATGAGACTGCTAAAGAAATGTCTGCAATTCTTGAAGAAAAATAAGTTAGGACCTATTGAAATTTCAAAGAAATTCAATATATTGAATTGTTAGTGGGGTTTTGGGGTTTTGGGGTTTTGGGGTTTTGGGGTTTTGGGGTTTTGG